GCAAGAGTTACCCAGGCCCATTAGTCTGCCGGTAGCGGGTGACGAATGCTGCTGCGCGTATAACCCCAATTGAGAAAATTGCGAGTACATTACGACATTGACCAAATTTGGACCCTTACGCCGACACACAGTGGGAACTTAACTCTTGCGAACGACATCAGGCGATCGTCAACGTACACTGTGAAGCGGACGGCGCGTATGTACGTATGTTGAATTTTTTTTCGTCGTACGTAGCCCGCAGTAGTAACCAGGGCGGCCGACAGGAATTCGAACCGTGAACCTCGGCAACAAGCGGCGATCGTGCTCCACTGCTGGGCCGCATCGCCACCCGAGGCTGTGACGTTCTTGGTTCAAGAATGATGTGTTCTCGTGGGCATCTGACGTGGGTGTTTTTGGTACAATTCGTAAGTTAGGCTTTTGCGCTGGAGAGATGTGGCCAGGAGTCACAATAGTTAAGAGTGTGCAACTTGCAATTTAGAAGGCTTCTGTTCAAATCCTGGTTGAGATCAACTCGGCCGTTCATGTCTCCAGGATCGATCAAATGAAAATCGCTTTAGTTTGTTGTCCTTCCCCCACACCTCCGATTAGCGCGGTTGGCTACGTACGGTGCAAAAGAAGTTCGTGGAACATGCATACAACAGTGGGTTTGTCCTGTGGATACACACGCTCCCATCATAGGAATGAGGAATGTCCACCACTAGGTCGGGATTATAAATGTGGCGATGAAATCTCAAGCTCGCGTGCAGGTCATCAGTGGATATGCTTACAATGCAGCACCATGGCTGAGCTACGATGTTGGGTGGGAACTGTAGGCAGAAGATACTTTGCCCGTGCCCATCCGAACCGGAATGTCTCATTGACTGCACTGGACATTCCATAAGCGTGCATCCACAGTCGATGTCAAGTCGAGCCCGACTGACTTTGTGTTTTGCAGCTGACTGTTGCACACCAGCTAGCCTCGCTGGTAATGCTTTTTTTTTCCTCGTCCAAAAATGCCCAACCCAATTAAATCTGTATCAAGTCCCAGCCCTGCAAATCGGGGAACGTGGAAAAAAGTCTCCCTTATAGCTGCACCCTCGAATGGTGTCTCGTGACAGTGTGCTCGCTAATTCTGTGTGTACGTGTAATAATCCATTCCATCAAACAAAAAAACACACACTTTCTATTCTTCTAGTCAATTACAACTCGTGTATTATCACAGCCAGACAGTCGGGTCACACTTTCCCACTGTAATACACGTGAATAATTTCTGTATTTAAAGTCTATTATTATTATATAGATTATATAGCTCAAGTAAAGGGTCTGGTGGAGGGGAGAGAGCGTATGTTTGTATCAACGGCGAGAGCCATGGTGGCAACTTAAACCTGAATTATATCATTTTGCAATCCACATAATTACGTTCGTGGTATATTTTCAATTCCTCGTGTGATGCGGCTTTTTGTTGTTGTTGTTGTTGTTTTAACTGTTGTTTACTTTGTCTTGCACTTTCCGTGTTGGTGACCCAGGTCACTCTCGCAAATGGTAACACAATCGACTTGAAGTCACCTGCTCACTGATTCACCCACTCACTCACCATCTCACGAACCTCCTCACCCACCCACTCAATCACCGACACCACCATTCACCCACTCGTGCAAATGAGACCCATCCTCTCGAGTTCTCACCTGGTTATTAATCAAAATAATAAACTTCAATCCGCCGCTGGACGAAGGCCTCCGCACACCGCGTCATCGACGGGGGTTATTTGACCATACTTCACCACGCTTATCAGCGCCGATTGGTCGAGTGGTTGGTGGTAGATCCGATTATCGTTTAAAGTGTCTCTCGCCGCTGATGTTTGCCGTGGTCAGGAATAAAACTCAACGCACACGACTCCGTCGCGCAGCAGTGCACAGCCACTCACCCCGACATATCAGTAACCATCAGCCGTGATATCATCAGCCGTGGTCAATTCACTGCTGCAGGATTGAAGGCCTCTTATCGCACGTCCTGTGTATGCATTGCTCACGAAGATAATTGGAAACGCATGCTCATAATGTGCACAGTAGAGGTGCAGCACTGCAATTGCTTGTTCTCACCACTGCTGGCAGGAGCTCCACCAGAAGGGAACTCGAGAGAGAGAGACCCCTCCCCCCCGAATGTATTTTTGACCTACTCTTCCACGGTGACCAAACATCTTGAAATAGGTGAGAGCAACGATTAGCCTCTGCTAGGTCGACTAAGGCTCAAACGAGTACCCGGTGCAATGTAAACATTGCCGCTAGGGAGACAAAGGCGGTCAGGCGTGGGGCTAGTCACCCACCCCACGTGTGCCGTGTCAGCCTTAATACGTGCTATATAGACTTCACAGTTTATAGACTTAACAGTCTACATAGCTACAGGGATCTTTGTGAATGTGAGTGTGTGAATGTGTGTCTGTGTATGCACATGAGACTGTGTGTGTGCTAACCGCTGTGCCACCCCTCCTCTCCACGTGCAACACAGATCTTGAGATGGCCGCGGGCCTGCTCACCTCCACCAGGCTGTGCCCCCCCCTAATTCCCCCAACCCCCCAATTTTCTTCACCTCCCCCATTCAACCCCTCCAGCACCCCTTAAACACACCACCCCACCATCCTCCCTCCCTCCCTCCCCCTGATCAAGTAAAACCATATAATCCCATTTAGTAGTACAACGCCCTCCCTGCTGTCACAGCCAGCTGCATGCCTGCCCCCAACCCACACCCCTGGGGTTACACGGGGAGATTGAGTCTGCCAGGAGGGAGGGGGGGGAGCCGGGGGAGGGGAGGCACAGACAACAACGTCTACCCCCCTCCCACCTCCCTCACTCCCTAGCCACTGCCCTGACCCGCTCCCCACACCCCTGCGTTGCCCCCCCCCCCACGTCTCCCCAATATCCTTCCCTGGAGATGTTTACAAGCCAGCTGATTACTGCCACTACTTCATGCTGGGAGGGAGGGAGGGGCATAGCCATCGAGTGTGTAGGCGGTGCAACTGCACAGCGGCGCTCAGGCGGGAAGAGTCCCAGGCCACGAAGAAGGGCGGGGGAACCACAGAAGGCCCTCGATGGCATTCTTTGCACGGTGGCCCATGGCCCAATCACGCGACTCCACTGCTTGATGCGATGATACTTTGGCTGTGCGGTGCAGCAGTCATTGTCTTCTTTGCAGGCAGGCAGGCTTGGCGTGGGTGGAGAATGAGAGAGAGAAAGGGGGGGTGAGGAGGGGTGGATGAAGGGATGGGGAGGGTCTGATTGGTCGTGGGCGGGGCTGGGGGTGAGAACACGTTAAACACAGGCTGCATCTCCCCTCGTCTGGACTAATTACTGATCAGAGCAAACACGACGCGACACAATTAGGCGCATAATTAGTGCGGTTTTAGCGCCCCTTGTTTGCTGCGTTTCGCCGGAGCGAGCAGATTAGGGCACAATCTGCACGCACAGCAGCGATCGTGGATCAGCGCAAAAAAAAAGCCCCTTTCATTATTATATCATTTGTGTTGGGAAATGCTACGGGCAGTTATTTATTTTATTGCTTTTCAATAACATTTTGATTGCATTCAGAGTCGTAATTATCCCCTGCGTGGCCAATAGAGTAAAAAAAAACGCACCCGCCACTTATCTTTAAAGGGACAATTGGCAATCACCCTAAGTCTCGTCAAACGCCACGTTTGTTTTCTCTCTCTCTCTCAATTAATCTTAAAGAATTGGCTTCGCCGGTTGTCTGATGAGTGTTGTGCTCTAATTTTGGCGCCCCGTAGATTACCAAAAAGCCGTTGATTTGCGTCTTCCTCGTCGGCGACGACGCCGTTGCGAGCGTTTGCTGCTCACAATCAAACCGTGGGCCTTATTAACCTTGCGCGAACACTTTAAACACCGCGCGGATTAATTTAGCAGCGGCATGGTTGTACAGAGAACTATGACCCAAGCACGTGGGACTGTGCCAGATCGCATCCGATTTTTCCAAGCTCGTGTTTGGATGGGTGATCCCAGCGTGCGCGGGCAGATTGTCACAGGCCGCTGTTCTGTGGCCAGCAGCGAAGTGCAGAGAAATCCATCACTGCGCTGTACTTCTATGCTCCCACGTCCAGACTCCCCCCGCATTTGCACCGACCCCACACTGACCATCGTGGTGCAGCGTGGTCCAATAACCTCCTCGACCTGAATGGACGAAGAGGTGTGTGACGATTGTTCATGAATCATGTACCTGACCCTTGCTCTCGTGGGTAACTGACCGCTGTCTGACCTTTCAATATAAAATCCTAATCAACGTCCAACAGCTGTTATTATTATTATACGGGCGATGGTTCTGGTGTCTCTAGAAATGTACTTCCCCTTCCCGTGTTGAAAGGTACTTCTTGTGAAAAACATCTGTTGGTCTTGCGCGAAGCTAACTCCCAGGCCAGATTGGAATATCGATGTCGCATGTCAAGATCCATTGTCATTTCAGAAAGTGGTCCAGAGAATGTAAGGGTTGTACGATGCATTGATTCATCAATTAATATTGATTCTTACGTATTTGTGTTTTGGTCTTCCTAATGTTATTCTCGCTGCGCTATCGTCATGATGTCACAAGGAATCAATTTGGAAATCTCGGCCCTATTGTGTCTTAAATACTCTTCATGCGGTGTTTATTTATTTATTTTTCACTAAAGGTGGCGCATCCTCCGATACACACTGCTATGAGACTGGTGTTTGTTACATTGACGGTGAACAGATGTTTTAATTCTGAGAACTGGTCTTCCGCCAAATTAAGTGACAACCCAATTTTTGCAATGTATATATTTTCTACTGAAACCATTCAACACCAACAAAATTCTGCGGTAAATACAATAACAAACACATTTGTACCATTGTAAGTAAACAAAAATGAACTCGATGGCATCTGAAGGTCAGAGTAAGAATGCCTGTGCTCCCATAGCCTCTCGCCACGCCTCAAGTCACCCCTTAACGCCTGCTCACTTATTTATTCTCCTCGTCTCTTCCCCTCTCCCCTGTGCACAGATTGACGTCTCCCAGTTGGAGCCAGAGATACAAGCGTCGACCACGGACAAGATCCTCACTTACAACAAGGGCCTGTGAGCCAAGTGACGGCCTCCTTTCTCCACCCTGGAAGACGCCTGCAAGAATTCAACAAATCTCAACTCTCACCATGGCTCGCACCTGCACGACCCTCCCAGGCAAAGGCCCTCATCGCGTTGCGTCGCGGTGCGTGTGCCTCTCGCCGCATGCCGCATGCCGACCGACGCGGCGTGCGGTATTTTTTTTCACCTCTCTCTCTTTCCCCGGGATTGTTTGGCGTTGTGGACGTAATGTGACATGCGCCTTTATTGAGCAGCAAGTCATAATTCTCGGCAAACCTTTTGACCCGCAGGAATGCGTGAGCTACTTAAAAATAACCCCCCCCCCTCCCCAAACGCAAATTTACAAGAGTAAAGAAAAAAAATCTAAAACGCGGCCCTACCAAGATAGAGAAATGTAATGGCTGTTATTTAATGCCGTGCCTTCCTACGGCACAGAATGAAACCCTTCGCAGTGAACACGGAACAAAATCCCTCCTAGGTCATCAACAACAACGCTTTGAAAGATAAGCCGATACAAGCTTAGCATAACGTTCACATGGGAGGTTGAACCCGAAGAAAGGGTAGGGAGAGAAAAAACCGCGTGTTTTGAGCGCTGCACAAACGGACAGCTGCACTAACTCGAATTCCTGTCGCGTCCGGCACGACGCGACAATGATGCAGGGCCTTTGTCGAGAGACACGGGACGGGGGGGAATGAGCGGACCAGGAGGGGAAGAGCCGCTCATTACGTAATCGTCGCCGATACCTGCACGCACAACGCGGAACCTCCGACTAGCACGGTTGGCTACGTACGGTGCGAAAGAAGTCCTACGTACGTGCCCAGTTTTTTTTGTTTGTTCCCCCCACATCGCGTGCCAGCCGGGTTTGAGCGACAAGTCCGGTCCGTCGACGGGTGTTGATTCTCTCCCTCGTGGTCGCACGCGTGCATCGGCAGAGAAGCGCATCGGGTAGCGACGATTCGCGTCACGTCACAACGGCTGTGTCACGTGAGCCCCCCTCTCCCCACCACGAGTCGCTAGAGCTGCTGACACCGCTATTGACTGCAGTGTTAAAACAAAATACTGTCATTGGTTCTTGAAATGTGTGTCATGGATCGTGGGAATTCATCGAATCACTCAGTGCAGTGGGTGGGGGGGGGGGTGCAGGGTTTGAGGGGGTCTGGACCTTGCCCATTAGCCTGCTAGGCCCGTAATTGGGTCTTGAGCTCACAATCCGAAAGTTGGATCCATAAACCGGATTGTGCGCGTATTAACAGCCGATTGTTTACCGCTCATAGAGATGAGACGCTCACGATATATTTAGGCTAACGGAGTGAACAAAACTGTACGAACTCGAAGGGAAGAAAGAGAATGCAGATGACACGAAGTATAATCGATTCTTAAATCGCTGGGAAGGCGAGGTGTAACGCTTCTGCCTAGCGGGCATGTTGCGCTGCATAGATTCGTCGATTACAACTGATTCATTATTATGAAGCTAGCGATAAGCGCATTACATCGTTTGTGTAAGGGTGAGTTGTTTTTGACGCATCCTGTTCGTGGTGCGTTATGTGTTTGTACGACGCCGGCAGCCACAAGTGACGATTTGTTTCCTCTCGTTCCGATGAATCGTCGCGATTTGAGGTCACGGTTCGATTACAGAATCAATGTGGGGGGAGGAGAGGGGTGTGATTGTTGTGGAACGTTAATGTAGCGTCTCTAGTGGCTGCAAGGGTCGCGTGCGCCAAACGCAACGCAATGATTTTGCTGCGTTCCGTAAAAAAGAAAGCCCTGGTTGGTGCCATGCAGCATGCACATGCGAGTCGTATTATATTATTGTCGTTGTTGTTTCAGTAATCTAAATCGACGAATCGGTGCCTCGTGACTTACCTAGAGAATAAGCAATTGCTTTCAATCATCTTGACCAAGGACTCGAGAACGTTGAAAGTACGCTTTGTTGTGAGTTCGCTTTGGTCAGAGTCTTGAGCATGATATCTGAGATAATTGTCCTTGGCATGTAAGGTTGTGAATTTATTCAAGTCGCAGTCATTATTGTTCGCTCTCGTGCCCGCAAAATGTGTAGTAGCTGCAAATAAATGACATTGCGGGCTTCCATAAACCATGCCACATAACCATAATATATTCGTAAAACAGTATATGACTAGAGTAATAATGAATCTAATGCTGGATTGAAGGGCTTCTCACATCGTGATGATCATTGGGGTTGTTTGACCATACTTCACCATGGTAGCCAGCGTAGGTGGGTGAAGGAAGGGGGGGGGGGGTGGCCAGTTCTGGTTCAGATGTCAGCCCCTGGTTGGGAATCGAACTAGGTGTGGCTGGGTTGATAGTGCCAGTACTCTGTCTCAACGCGGTGTCAACACTCCACAGTTGTCTGTCATGTAATAATGTAATTAAAGAATGTAACGTTTACAAGATGTATTAATTGTTGATGCGTGACGCTAAGTATAATTTTAATAATGGTGTTGTTGAAAATCCCACTCGCACTTGTGGTGTGACTGTTTTGTTACAATTTACGCCGCACACTAAACAGGGTAGTAGATCTATTGAACAATTTCTCACCGAAATAAAGTTTACACTTCAGTTGTATCGTTCACGCTTGCGCTTTTCATGTTGCCTGTCGTGCACGTCAGTCGTCAATAATAATGATGACAATTCTGTGGCGTCAAGTGCCGCACATGCCATCATCTATATTTGTGGGAAATGTCAGCTCTTCACGCCTTCTAGAACATCTCAAAGAACGAATGAAGATGTGCACAGAGAGAGAGACTACAAGTGGAAATTACCTTTTTATAATTTTTTATCTAAGTAACTTTACCGAAAGAGCCAAAGAATAGTAATTCCTGCAGTCACGAAAGCTTTAAGTCAAGATTTAATTACTGAGACGTTTGACCAAAAGGAACTTGGCCACGTGCAGGACATATCCTGAAGAGGGTCACAGCTGGAGAAATGGACGCAGATGATTCTGCATGGGGAAGATGGAAAAGAATGGAGACATCGGTTGGTGGGACATTGTTGCAGCTGAGTCTCCATGAGAGAAGCAGAAGATTGTGAAATATGGAAAAGGTCTGTTATGAGGATGACACTAGATCGATGGAGAACATCGTCATGATTTCAATCTGTTGGTGAAGCATGATTATCTGATTATGTATTTGATTATTGCTGATCATAATTCACATTCCTACGTCAATGTGCTGACTAAAGGTGTCCCACGTGCCAATCGTGGGAATTCATTGACCATACGTCACCACGCTGGCCATTGTGCGTGAAAGTGGGGAGCGTAGGACCGGGTTCGGATATCATTCACTTACTGACGTTAGCTATGGCTTTGATTCGAACCCGGGTCTTCGGTCAAATAGCGCTGCTACAACCGCCAACGACGACCATTCGCCACTAAGTGGTGGTGACGTCACCACGGCGCTTGTGCCAGGCTATGTGCACGTTAAAGCCACGTGAAGTTATTAACGCTCGCTGGCAGGAGGTCATGGTTCAGACCCAGCAGGTGCCATGAGTTGTCTAAGTTGACTGGCTGATGCACCACCTGTGCCCCCGAACCGCCGGTCCGCTGCTATGAGATGTCCATTGTTAATTCACCTGTTTCGCACAATTCACTCGCATTGGCAAAATACATAAATCGGTACCAATAAAAGCTTAATAACCCCGGGTGACAACACGAAGAGAAACGCAGGTCTGGGCTCGTGGCCAACGCAGACCGTGCGATGAGTTCCATGGTAACACCAAGTGAAACGTACGGCGCTGCTTCGTGGCCTATTAAAGTCGCAAGCGAGGATACAGGCGATGGGGAGTGGCAAAGCCGAGGGGGGCAGGGGGGGCAGACACGCTCGAGAGAGTTCACCACCTGAGATAGAGGCCACGAGGAACGGCCTCGCCGTGCGTGCGTGCGTGATGCAGGCGCGAGATGGATCCTTGCATCGCGAGTCCACGGGCGCCCAGCAGCGATAATGCCCGCCGAGTGAAAGAATAATCATGTCTGGGCCTCGTTCACGATACGCGGACCTATGAGCAACAAACGTACGCCACGGAGAGCTTGCGCGGGGGGCCAGGTTGCCCCCCCCCACCCACTTTTTGAGGCCGCGCGAAGTGTCGGCAGGAACTCGCCGTAGCATCCCCCACTTGCGCTTCTGTCGGCGGGGCGCGTGAGACGCGCACACGTGTTCACGTATGCGAAACAAGCGCATAACTCGCGGCTCTCTTACACTCGCCCTGCGCATTCCCCCCTTTCGCACCTCTACCCAAACATCGGCTCGAGTTCCGCTCTTATCTTCGCGCTGTTTGCAGAGCCTGCACATCCCGGCGCGTCACGTGCCCGCTCGTATTGTGACAGCGTTTGTCACGAGTGTGGCGGTGACTCATCACCGCATCCCTCCCCCCACCCCGTTGTCTAAAGACGGCTCCGGCTGCCGACGCTCCCTGCGATTGGAAACGTTGGGGCAAAGGGGCCGTCACGTTTGCTGGCACGGGCTGTCGAACGCCGACAAAGACAAAGCTCCCCCCCCGTGTAGCCTTAACAGACTTTTGGGGCAAGTGCTGTTAGCAAGCACCTATGAAGGCGGGCACGGCACACGAGGGGGGTGGGTGGCCAGCGCCACGCCCGGCCGCCTTTGTCTCCCCAAGTGGCGATGTTTACACACCGCACCAGGTACTCATTTAAGGCTGAGTAGACCGAGGGGAAGCCCAGGATCGGTTCAGATAATCGTCACTGGTATTGGCCGTGAGCGGGAATCTAACTTGGATCGCTGGGTTTGTAGTGCAGCCGCGCTAACCGCGCTAACCGCTGCCCTACCGCACCCCACACTATCGAACTAATTTGTGTGCGAGCTTTGATGAAGGCCCGTTGCCCGAAACGTCGCCACTATAAGTCATTGAGAGGCTATGGAGGATCATTGCCTGAACTATTTATATGTGTTTTCTTTTAAGGCCACAGTGTTGTTCATGACGAATGAGTTGAGTTTATTGTTTGTTAATTTTGCACCACTGCCAACGCAGCAGCATCACTGAGTAATGTGTTTACTCACACTTAGGCTTTATTATTTCAGCTGGCAAGGAAGGCCCCGTTGAGCCAATGAGCTCTGTTACAAAGACGATCACAGCCCAAGACGGGCGGCAGTGGTGGTAGCTTCAGAACATCGCAGAGAGGGAATGTGCAAACGTGCAAGAACAAACACAACACTTATTTACACGAAAAACACACACACGCGTCGGCTGATGTCACGTGTGTGCGTGTGCTGTAATTGTATGTAGTTATGCTCCGTGCACATGTACAGCCCTTGGTCAATCTACTACTGCAAGCAGTCTTCTCCACACCGTGTCAGTCATGGGGGTCGTTTGATTTTGTGGTAGCTATAGAAAGTGAAGGCCCGGGACCAATTCAGTTATCACTCGCCACGAATGTTTGCCGATACCGATAACGACAATTGAATTCGGGTAGCTGGGTGCATAAGTGCAGTGCGCTTAACCACTGCGCCACTGTTCCAATCCTAATTACTGGACGGGTTGGCAATGTGCAATTGTTATCACCATTTTAGCATCAATAGATGTGTTGTTTATGTGCATTGGTGCAAACGGGGTGCGTAGACGTCGGAGGATGCACGGAGGTGATTTGGTCAGAGTTATCAAAATTCACGTTTGACACCAGACATCTCCACGTGCTCTTACAGTGATATGTTTTCTCAAAAATGAATTCCACGTCTGTTGAGAGACAGTCGAGAAATGTTCGCACGACGCCTCTTGGATTTTCCTGCAGTCTGAAAACTGCAACTGCCAATTAATTTTTCTTAGACGAGCCTCGTGGAATTTTCAGTCAAGTCTATCGTATGTTTGCGTAGTTTTGGTGAAGTTTAAGATTGTTCTAAACAATCTGAAGGTATCTCGGGTAATTTTCCCGAGTGTTTTGTATAGTGTAATGTAATAATGATAATTGTAATGTCATTTATTTCTCACGATAGCTTAATGAGTGTTTGGCTTGTGGAAGGAAACTGGAGTAGCCAGAGCAAAAACCCTGAGAGCTACGTACAGATAGATTCAAGAATCCATATCTGTACTGGTTGCGAGATGTGAATTACCTCCCCTCGTATGAAGGAGGTGGTGGGTTCGATCCCGACCTTTACGCCTGTATATTTGGAGTTTGCATGTTCTCCATCCCGGCCCTCCGGTTTTTCCCTCCACACTTAGAATCAACACGCGTGTAGAGTATTTGGCTGCTATACATTTCCTCGTGAAAAGCCGTTTAGCTATCATTTGTGACCAGGTGGATTCTGGAAAAGAGCTGTATAGTTCAGTGGGTCTTACCTGCTAAAATACAAAAAAAAACAAGTTTTAGTTGAATTCGTGCTGCCAGCTGTAATCTTACCTTCCTGGACACCTTGCAGCCCAAGCCGATAACACCCGATACTCGCAGGCTATCAGGTTCCTGTCCAACTATTATCCAGACTCACAACGTGATTAGCTTCCGAGATCCAACGTTATCGGACACATTTTAGGTCGATTTGATTGTGGGCATTGGCAGGTGGATCCACGTGTTATAGTAATGAGCTCCGAGCATGACCATATAATGCGTGCATAACTGCACTCGCCTGCCAGCCATGTAATCACTGCGTGAAACAGCTGAAACAGCTGTGACTTGGCCCGATTGTAACACACGCGGGCGCGGTAGTGGCGCAGTGAATAGCGCGCCACAACTACGCCATGAACCCCGTGACCCGAGTTGGATTCCAGGCCACGGCTCAAACTAGTGGAGATTTATATCTGAACCTTTCCTGGCCTCCGCCCCCCCCTTTTTTTTACCAACCCCCCCCCCCCCATCACTAGCGAGTGATGCTTACAGCGGCCATACGATCGAACATGACTTGACCAATCCGCACTGACCAGCGTGGTTAAGTATGGTCAAACAACCCCCCTCCCCCATAGCCGACACGGGATGTGGAGACCTCCGTGCAGCTGTGGTGTTACCAACGTTCTGTAAATTACAATTATTACAGTAATGGGACCTATTGCAGGGGGGTGTTTCTTTTTTATGTTCGGCGTGTGTCAACGTGACCGCGTGCCAATGTGGTTAAGAAAGGTCGACAGACCTGGCTCTCACTCGCCTCAATTATGTCGTTTGTTGATTCAGCACAGCCTCAATGAGGCTTACGACACTTTTTTTTCACGAGGGTCCTGCCCATGTTTTCGCAGTAGGTAGGGGGCGGTTATTGTTATTTGGATTCCAAATATATAATTTGCGGCGGTTTTATTTCTTCAATTGGGGTGTTTTTCAAGTTTTATAATAATAATAAATCAAATGTACAATGCGCATTCCGTCTTAAAATCTCAATGCGCACCCAGCGGCAACCGACGAAACTGAAGCGGGAAGGCCACTTCCAAGAGATGAGGTTTTCAAAGCAGTCTCAATGACATCTACCGAATGCGATTGCCCCGATTTCAAGCGGCAAGGCGTTCCATAGTTTGGGGGCCACGCTTACCAAAAGTCCCGATCACCAAAAGGGCGCAACCTCGCCAACTCGCGCCGGCACGCCGGTGCACGGTGGGGCCACGTGTTGCGAATGACGGAACGGGATCTCGAACGTCCGCTGTG